ACATAATGTGTGTGGTTTTTGTTGTGTTCGTGGCTGTACTTGTCATATTAGTTGGTGTGTTTAGGTTGATGTAATGGACATATATAGGTGTTTATATATAGGTGTTTGTATCTATATGTATAATGCTTTTGTTATGTTTTTGTCAATTCCCAGTTGTTGAAATGCAATGCATTCCATTTCTAGGTAACACAATTTCTGGGTTGTTTCAATTGCATTTTTATACCAATTTCTGCACAAAAGCATTCTGGTATCCAAAGATAGGCAAATTTGGCAATTGGTCATTTACCTAAAGCAATTCACAAAAGTCAATATATGCATTTCATTAATCCCAATACCAAAATTACAATGCATATACAGTAAAATACAAAATATATGTTATTCAAATCCAAAATAAAAGCACATTATAGCAGATTCCCTGCCAAATACAACAAGCAACCTAAACTCCCATATCTGTCCAAAAACAAGTGTCCATGCAATATCACTCTATGTACTACACACCCTAATCTGTCCAAAACAGAAGCACACCTTAATCTGTCCAAAACAGAAGCACACCCTAAACACACAACAAAAAGCTTTAGACTCAACAGGGGTGGCTGTCCAAAAACAATCATCCAGACAATACACACCGTAATCTGTCCAAAAAAGAAGCATCCATGCAAACAACACATAATAACTTCACAGTCTAGCTATTCAAATAAAAAAAACTTCACAGTCTAAATGTTTGACTGTTTATCTGTGTGAATTTTAGTCAATAACTCTGCCCAACGACCAAGTGCTTCTTCTTCCTTCTGCCCTTCCTTCTGCCTTCTTTTTTCCCATAATTGTGCTTGCAAGTTAGTGGCAGTAACAAATTGCCTACTGCGCCTACTGCTTCCTGAGGGAGTTGTTGCTGTTATAGATGGAGGTGCCATTGGTGCAGGTACTGTAGGTGCTATTGGTGCAGGTACTGTAGGTGCTATTGGTGCAGGTACTGTAGGTACTATTGGTGCAGGTGCTGTTGGTGCAGGTGCTGTTGGTGCAGGCGTTAGAGTTATAGCGGGGATTCCTTTATCTCCAACTCCCGTAGCCCTCTTTTGAGCATATCCAAATGACAAAATTCTTTCACTTCTATGTCCAGGCTATAATAAACATTAATTACATTAAGCAAGCATAATACACTAAATTAATTTTGCATGGAAATAAGAAGAAATAAGAAGAACATATAATCCTACTCTAATCCACATACATTTAATTTGGAAAAACCTGTATTCGGATTCACATATGTTCCAAAACCTTCAAATTGTTGCTTCCCCTTCCCTTTTGGATACGCATGCTTGACTTTTTGTGTTTTTGTGGATTGTGAATGGGTTTCAGATGGAGGCGCAAATGGCGAATCCTGAATATTAGATGCGGCACCAGTCAATGTGCATAGAAATATTGTGAGACTTTTATCCATTAATAAAAACAAACTTAAATTGTTATTTACCTCTTGCTGGGTTGGGGTTGGGGTATTTTTCCTTGCTCT